TCTTGGCAGGGGGTTGGACTGGATGGCCCATGAGGTCTCTTCCAACTCTTTGATTCTATGATTCTATGACGGAAATCTGCTGAGTGGCCTTCGGCAAGTCACTCTCTCTCAGCCTCTCAAGAAGGCAAAGGTAAAACCCCATTGAACAAATCTTGCCAAGAAAACCCCATGATAGGTTTGCCTCAAAGTCAACATAAGTTAAAACAAATAAACCTGAAGGCATAGTGTCACCACCACCAATCTTGTCAGGAGCTGAATGGGCCCCCATCTCCATCTGCTAAGGAAAATTCCATTGGGAATTTTCTTAAATGGTTCTTCCACTGTACTTTTGTCTCAAATACTTGACAAGGGGTTGACAAATGAGTTAAAAGGATGTCAATGACAGTGTTGTGTTATTCCTCACCTGCAGGAATAGGGCCTCATGTTCTAAATGAGGAGGAAAATAAAGAAATAAAGCAGGTTGTGGACAAGAGAAAAAATTGCAGGCTGACTTGAATTACGCCTGGATTACCTGGGAAGGAATCTCACTGGAGCATTGCAGCACATCCAAAAACCTGGGAGTCACTCTGGACCGTGCCCTGACCTACAAGAAGCACTTCCTGAATATCAAGCAAAAGGTGGGTGCTAAAAACAATATCATATGAAAGCTGACTGGCACAACTGGGGATGACAACCAGACACAGTGAAGACATCTGCCCTTGCACTATGCTACTCTGCTGCTGAGTATACATGCCCAGTGTGGAACACATCTCACCACACTAAAACAGTGGCTGTGGCTCTTAATGAAACATGCTGCATTATCATGGTGTGTATGCATCCTACACCACTGGAAAAAATACACTGTTTAGCCGGTATTGCACCACCTGACATCCGCAGGGGAGTAGCAACCACTAGTGAAAGGACCAAGACAGTGACATCTCCGGCCCACCCCCTGTTTGGGTATCAGCCAGAATGCCAACAACTTAAATCAAGAAATAGTCTTTTATGATCTACAGAGACACTCGCTGGGACACCTCAGCAAGCGATAGTCCAAAAGTGGCAGGTTCAAACCCAGAACCTCAATCAATGGCTGATACCAACTGAGTGACTCCCTCCTGGGCACACAGAAAACTGGGCGACTTGGAAGGCACCGAACAGACTGCGCTCTGGCACCACGAGATGCAGAGCCAACCTTAAGAAATGGGGCTACAAAGTGGAATCCATGACATATGAGTGTGGAGAAGAGCAAACTACAGACCACCTGCTGCAATGCAACCTGAGCCCTGCCACATGCACAATGGAGGGCCTTCCTGCGGCAACACCAGAGACACTCCAAGTGGCCAGATACTGGTCAAAGGACATTTAATCAACTACCAAGCTTGCAAACTTTGTGTTTTGTTTTTTTTGTTTTTAATGCAATACAACTGTTTTGGTTCGCTCCTGATACGATAAATAATTTGTGGTAAGGCTTTTCATTATCACTTTGATGTGGAGGTCGGGACGGCTTTGAGTGCTTTTGATTGTTTTGGTTTTAACACAATGGCATTGAATGTCTGCCATTGGTTGTTGTAAACCACCCTGAATCCCCACGGGGAGAGAAATAAATAAGGTCGTATTGTTGTAGGCTTCAAACTACAAGAGAGGAGATTCCATCTGAACATGAGGAAGAACTTCCTGACTGTGAGAGCTGTGCAGCAGTGGAACTCTCTGCCCCGGAGTGTGGTGGAGGCTCCTTCTTTGGAAGCTTTTAAACAGAGGCTGGATGGCCATCTGTCAGGGGTGATTTGAATGCAATATTTCTGCTTCTTGGCAAGGGGCTGGACTGGATGGGCCATGAGGTCTCTTCCAACTCTTTGATTCTATGATCTATGTTGTTGTCAGGGGCGGCTCATCCATTACGCGAAGTAAGCGGTCGCAGAACACTTTTTTTTGCCAGGGGCGCAGAGGCGCCTCTGTAAATGCCCTCGACCACCACTTGAGGAGCGCCCCCTCAGCTCACAACAGCCCTAGCAGTCTGGGGGGAGCCTCGGCTTTCTTGCCTCGCTGCCGGGCGATCCTCTTCCCAAAGGGGTTGGGCCCTTGAGCCTCGCCTAGCCCCTCTCGTTCCTGCCCCACCCGGCCACCGGGTGCGCGAGCAGAGCCGGCGCTCAATCGTTCTCCATGTTCGATCCCTTCTGCAGGACCGGCTCCCTTTCCCAATCCCCCGGCGCTCCACCCGCCTCCTCTCCTCTCCCCAATCCGTGGGTGGGCCAAGGGGCGGAGCCGCTGTGCCTGGCCCGCTTCGTGTCCGGAGGCGTGTCTGAAGACCCCAGCGTGCGCACCAAAATTCGCCTCTTCTCCTGACTTTCTCTTCAGCCATTGGGACCGAGAGAGAGAGAGAGAGCCCCTCCGGCTGGAGGTATCTCCCACCTCCGCTCCCTCCTTTGTTTTTGCGCCTACCTTCAGGAAAGGTGGGCATCTCCACCTCTCTCTCTCTCTCTCTCTGGACCCAAAGCGGGCCAGGCAAGGGAGCAATTGCGGCAAGTTTGGTTACTGGGATGTATAGTTCACCTACAATCAAAGAGCATTCTGAACTCCACCAATGATGGAATTGAACCAAATATGGCACACAGAACTCCCAAAACAAACATAAAATATATCAATGATTGGTTGGGGGGGGGGGGGCAAAATACTATTTGCTTACCGTTGAAAATTACCTAGGGCCGCCTCTGGCACCACATCACTCTCTAAAACTAGCCATCCCCTGCCACACGTTGCTGTGGCTCACAAGGGGGTTCTGTGTGGGAGGTTTGGCCCAATTCTATCGTTGGTGGTTGTAGGGAAACTATAAATCCCAGCAATCCCAACTCCCAAATGTCAAGATTCTATTTTCCCCAAACTCCACCAGTGTTCACATTTGTGCATATCTCAATATTCTTGTAGAGTTTGGTCCAGATCCATCATTGTTTGAGTCCACAGTGATCTCTGGATGTAGGTGAACTACAACTCCAAAACCAAAGGACACTGCCCACCAAACCCTTCCAGTATTTTCTGTTGGTCATGGGAGAACTGTGTGCCAAGTTTGGTTCAATTCCATCGTTGGTGGGGTTCAGAATGTTCTTTGATTGTAGGTGAACTATAAATCCCAGCAACTACAACTCCCAAATGACAAAATCAATTTTTTGAGTGAAGGACATACATTGGGCTGTTAGGTGTCTTGTGTCCAAATTTGGTGTCAATTCGTCCAGTGGTTTTTGAGTTCTGTTAATCCCACAAACGAGCGTTACATTTTATGTATATAGATACCTTTCCTTAAGAAACAACCCCTGCGAGCCACGTGGGAGTCTTAGAGTCTTAGAGCCGCCGCAAACTAGGACAAGGCCCTCCTTCCTGCTTTCTCAGTCCTCTGCCCCCCCCCCCGCTCTACCCCAAGATGGTACAGTCCAGGCCTTAGGGCACACTCACCCGGGCCGCCCTCGCGGGCTTGCTTTGGGGGGCGGCGAAGGGGAAGGCGTTCGCCGCGAGGCCCTCCTCGACCCCCT